TAATATTTTAGTTATACATCTATATCCAATTGATATATAAATGTATTCTTATTTTTCTACTTAATATTATATAAATAAAAAAAAAATATATATATTTTTTAAATAAAATAATAATTTATTAATAATTTAGAGTATATTTTGCTTATAAAATATATTTTTGAAAATATATTTTATTAAATTTATTATAAAAATTTTTAAAAAATATTAATAAACTTTTATGCAATAAAATTTTAAAGTTATAATTTAAAATTTTTTATTATTTAAAAATTTTATTATTAAAAATTTTTTTAGGATTTTTTAAAATTTAAAATTTTCATATATTTCTAAAACTAAAAAAATTTTACTTTGTACAAGTCTAAATTTTTATAAATAAATTGCAAAAATGTTATTTATAAAATTAGTATTCTTTATATAAATTAAAATATTGTATTAAAAATTATAGGTTTAAATTTAATATTTAAAGAATTTGTCAAAAAGTTGTAATTTTTTAATTAAAATTTAGTTAAATTTATTTATTTTTTGTTTATAAAGAATATATATATTTTTATATAATATAAAATTAAATATTATATAATCTTTATTTTTATATATTATTAAATAAAATTTTGTTTAAATATTTTAAAATTTAAAAAATAAATTATGAGCATATTTTAAATAATTTTATAATCAAATTTGGTTAAAAATTTATAGATTAAGAAATAATATTTTTTAAAATAATTTTAGATCAATACTTATAAACTATTAAAAGCATTTATTAAAATAAAGTAAAAAATTTATATATTTAATAAATTGTTTAGATTTGATTTATAATATAGTTTTATTTTTCAAAATAGTAAAATAATAGTTTATATATTAAAATATATGTTTATAACAGACTTTGCATCTTTTTTGCAAAAAGAATAATTTAAAAAAATTATTTTTAATAAAGTTTTAATATTTGTACTAGGAAATAGAATAAAAATATTAACAATTAAAAATTTCAACTTAAATTAGTTGAATATAATATTATTTAGTAGTTTTATTTTAATAAACCAGATAATATTTAAGAGATTTGCAAAAAAGAATTAATTTAGTATTTTGACAATAAGTTAGATAATAAGAAAATAAGTTTTAGGTAATTATAATAAATCAGATAAACCTATATAATTTCAAGTTAAAGTTATTAAATGATATTGAACAAGTTCCTTGATATGAAAGAATTTGGTTTAATATTTTTAAAATGTGATTGGATGATAAAAGATTGACTTAAGATAGGTATAAGAAATACCCATTGTAATGATTAGAAATTGATTAATGATACATTAGACATAAATTAGATCAATTGCATAACTATTTATTTTGCATAATAAATAAACTCAATAGACATAACATATGTAATAAAAGTAACACAACAACAGTTTTAGCATAACTAGCATAACTAGCATAAATAGTAGAAATGTGAATAATATATAAAGCACAAGCATCTGTTATGTAAAAAGACGTCTCACATATACTCTAATAAAGTATACGTTTTACTCTGCCAAATCCACGCCCTTTTTCGTAGTATTATCGTTCAACGTTACGCAAACCGTCCTATGAATAGGGATTTTTAAGTGAACACGATTTTTCTGCAACGTTACACCATGTACGATTGCGTCTAAGATATTACCTGTCTCACAAGAAATTTTTTTATGATTTATTTGTAGACAAATGTATATACAGTATAGTGACAATGTGCGAACTAATTGGAATGTGACCCAAAAAAAACATTAATAACTAACCATGCAAGGGATGCATTTAAGTAGAATATTTAGTAGTTCAGGTAATGAACTCGAGGGATAAATTAGTTAACCCGAACCTTGCGAATCGTACAGAAAATTTGCTCTTTAAAATCCATATCATTATTGTACATACTTAAGATGCTACGGCACATTCTATATACACGCCAAATGTTATTACTAAATACACGTAAGTACAGTTGCACTTCACATTAAGAACCAGGATAAATATCAGTGCTAGCCTTCCTGCGTGTTACTGTCGCATCTGAAGTAGCGATTTATCTAAAGTAGCCACTTTATATATCTAAAGTAGCGCCCTGGCTAAAATTAAAATCTAATGCATGCATGAAGATCTAATTTCAGGGGCTTAATTTTAGTCAGGCGCTACTTCAAATGAATCGCTACTTCAGATGCGACATTACCATTAAATTATGTAAACAAAAACATTTAACGGTATGGCCAAGTTTGCACATCAGTGCACAAAAGTATAAAGTTATGTATCCAACCTTTTTTTTCTCTGCAATTTCTTTTATTTAGTGATTCAACCAATTAAATTTGTCAAATTATTCTAATTTTCGACTGCTTAACATTAACATTACTCTGGAAATTGTCTTAAGCGGAAATATTCGGCATTTACAATGGAACTCTTGCATTTCTACACATAAATTTTTTTAAAACTCAAATCTTTGATTGGTTCTAAACTTGATTACATAAATTAAAGTTGTTGTCCTACTTACTTTTTCTAAGATCGATTGCATATATATAAATATATATTGGGTAAAACCTATTAATTTGTTCTACATGTTATGATACGATGTTTTTATTTGCGGATTAATAAATTTTCTAGGTATTTGATATACGTATAAATTTAGACGTTATTATGAGAAAACATTGCAAAATAAATCGACGTACTGATTGGGATATTAATTTATGTGAAATAGGCGAACAAGTAGTTTTATTATATATACAATAACATTCTCTTTCAGAAAACTTTAAAAAAATGGGACAATCCCTAAAAAAGCCTGTTAAAAATGGAATAAATGGAGTAGCTGAAACCTCCAAGAAAAGCAATGAAGAAACGTATCTAAAATCCCTTTCGGTACTTGAAGCCCACCGATTTATCCAAGGTCGAAAATTTTGTTTAGCACAGAATGCCTCTCTTGCTCTTCCACGTGATAACGAGGAGGCTATGCGGATTAATAAAGTCACTAAACTTATAAAAGTTTTGTTTGGCTCTAATTATTCTGCGCCTGTTACGGAATTTTTAACCTGTGGGGGTGCAAAAATACTTGAAATTGGGTTAGCAACTGTCTTTGCTAAATTTTATTTGATGAGATTCATTTTAATAAATATCTGCTATTTTATAGAACGGGTGGTGGACTTTGGCTAAGCGAAATGTCAATAGAATACCCAATGTCAATCTTTTTGGGTTTAGACATTACGACTATATTTAATCCCGTAAACATTTTAAAATATTTTGTAAAGGATTAACTAAGGCTACACAAATTTAATATCTTGGTTTTCCTAACATGAAATTTTTGAATAGACCCGGTCGGCTTTTTTAAAAAAATTTCATATATAAATTTTATAAAATTTTGTAACCTTTTTTTTTTAAAAAAAACCCTCCCGGTTATTAAAACATTAAAAAAATTTTTTACAAGCTTCTAAAAGTTGACCCGGCCGGGTTATTAGGACTAATTAGTTAATTTTGTATGGCCTAATACACTAATTGAATATTAAAATTTATTATTATTATTATTATTATTATTATTAGGACAGACTACCAGATAATAGTGCCTTTCTTGAACATAACTATCATGATGGGATTCCGTTCCCTGATAACGTGAGATCTTATTAATATTAATCTTTTTTATAAATGCGTTTTTTTTTCTAAAAAAAATATATTTTTATTAAACTATTAGACATTTGACTTTATATATCATCATTCCGTATCTGCAAAAGTTCGCGAGAATCAAATCATGATTCATCTGGCACGTTTAATGTCATTATTAGCGTTTCTGTTGCTTTTTTTTTTACTACAAGCAAAATTCATAATCATTTATATTAAATAAATAAAATAAAATAAAATAGAGTGAGATGTATCGTGTTCTTCAACCAGGAGGCTGGATGGAGGTTAGAATTTATCTTTAATAAAATAAAATAAAATAAAGTACATACTAAATAATTCTCAGATACATGGAACTCCCTCCGAAATTATTGGTGCCGGTCCTGCAACACGACGTTTTATGTTAGCAGGTAATTTATTTATTTATTTATTTTATAAAAAGATCTAATAATTTCATAAAATTTCCTTTTCAAATTCATGACTATAGTTCGACAATGCCTCCAGATTAATGGGCATAACCCTGATATAGTGCGCACTATCCCAGAAAAATTAAGATCATTGAATGTTAAAAACATTCAAGTGGTAGAAAAGCCACTTCTTCTTTCACGCAACGGAGCTCCAGACGAACAGGTAAATTAATAATATATATATATATATATATACATATACATATTTTAAACCTATATCTTAAATTTTTTTTAAAATAAAGATAGATGATGAACTTTTGCTTCGAACTGTAGAGGCATTCAGAGTGATAATGAAGGTAGCGATAGGATGTACTGATGAAGAATACGATGAATTAAAAAGAAATGTTGGTTTAGAGGCAGAAACTACAAAGATGCATATAATGGTCATAAGAACTTTTGGGCAGAAAGATGCCGAATAATATAACCTTTTAGGCCACGTTATCTTTAGTCACCCCTGCAATAGCACATCCATGCCGAAAATTGTTCAAATACCATTTAATCAATCCAAAATTATGCATTATAAAGATAAAAAATACGGTTTTACTTTCACCACCGGTACGTGAGTACGTACCAGGTTCCCTAAAAATAGCACCGATCGCGAGTCGGTCTAGACAACATTTCCCACTTTACATTATTCATATTAATTATAATATCTAAGTTCTTTTTATAAAGACACTTATAAAAGTTAAGTTCATTTCTTAAGCTTTTTCCCATCACCCGAAATATGTTTTATGATAAAAATTTGCCACTAATAAACTTGACAAATTATAACACTTGTATTATTTGAAAAAAAGTATGTATATGTTATGTTTGAAGTTGCTACTTTAGGCACTTGACCAAAATTACGCTCTGAAATATTTTGATAAACAATTATTACTGTAATTCTAGTTAAGTACGACTAAAGTTGCGATTTAGGCATGTGTGATCGTTATAATTGATTTTGATTTATAAAAAATTATGCCAAACCTTCATCTCTCATTATAAATTAGAAGTTTAACAATAATAATTGATAAAATTTTTAGGATAAAGTCTAGGAAAAAAAGGACATTTTCAATTTGGAGTGAGATGTATTTGTAGCATAAAATCAAAGTTGATGAATATAGTAATCAAAGCAATTCTTTGTTAGAATGCAAGGGGTAAATTTATAAATAAAATTTTATGATTAAACTGCAGTATTGTGGGCATGCACTTAATTGCACGTGTACATATAAAACAAATCGATTAATAATCATGCCCACCTACACTGCAGTTTATTCGCAAAAGATCCAAATTAATGTTGGCATCTGGGCTGTCTTTATTTTACAAATTTGATATCCTAAATGTTATATGTCGTTAATTAAAACTTACTATGCACGTATTACGGGTTACATTCATTTCACTTCAATCACAGACAAGTTCATTTCACCGTTTCTGTTTTAAATTATGGCTCAACATATTAATATAGCCATGCCATGTCGAAACTATATTACATACCGTAACACAACTTTCATAACAGTGTTAGAGGGAAATCCGGTTAAAGCCGTTGCGTAACGATCGTCGAAAACGTGACGAAAACGTGACCGAAAACGTGACCGGAATCGCAATCTGGATCGTGACCCAAAATCAGCGATCGTGTAACCCGATTT